GGGGGGGGGGGGGGACAAGGAAACATGAGGACTTGGGGGAAAGGGATGAAGAGAGTAGCATAAAAAAATATTTTTTACTCTCTAACCAAACGTTAGAAAATATTTTTCGGAAAAAGTTTTCCACTCACCAACCAAACAAGACAACCAGGAAAACATTTTCCATAGAAAATATTTTCCATGAAAAATAATTTCTTTCGTACCAAACACACCCTTAAGCTATTTATTTCCATAGTCAAACAATTTTTTCACTACAATTATTTTCAAATGTTTCTTATTATATGAAACTATGACACATATTACTATTTTTCAATAGTTTTAAATGCGTAAATCATACTATTAATAAATTAAAAATTAATATGTGAAATATTAATTACACCAAAAAATAAAACAAGTTCTCTTTCATTTAGGGTTGTATTTTAAATACAACTTATAGTTGCATTTCAGAAATACGATTTTTAGTTGTATTTGAGAAAATTAGCATTCTAGAAATTTGACCTATAAGTTGCATTTCGAAGATGTGACTTATAACCTGTCAGAAATATATTTAAAAGATTAATTTAAATATACCTTTAATTTAAAAAAATAAGAGACCATTTTTGTATTTTTTGGTGTTTTGGCTGTTGAGTATCTTTCTGCTTCAGTGACTGTAATTCTTGCCACCCATAAAGGTTCTTTCTTTCCTTATTATTTATCTTTCTATTTTCAGCATCTACAATCTTAAACTGGTACATGATTTCAGTTAATTTTGTTAAATTTGCTTTAATGGGTATAAAAATTTTGTGAAGTAAAGTCTGTTTTGACCCAATTAGTTTCTTGAGTTGCTTCAGCTTAATTTGAAGCAAAACCCACCTTTAGTTATTCTTGCTTAATTGGTGATATTGGTTTTAGTTCTTTGGTTTGTTGTTTATATCTGTGAAGCTATCACTATTTTGGGTTATTTATTTGAAAAAGAAGACAGTAGTAGTGTATTTAAATGTGCTTGTTTGGCTTAGTGAGTATGTGTAGTTATATCTTGTTTGTTAGTGCTGGCAAAATTGGTTATCTCATAGGCAGCTTTGGAATTTTGAGTGAGTGAGTGAGGAGGTGCGTGCGGTTGGCTTTGGTGGGTATGAGAAAAGGTAGAGGGGGCCTAAGAAACATTGGGAGAGGTGGTCAGGCAGGACATGACGCGGCTGCAACTTACCGAGGATATGACCCTTGATAGGAGTGTGTGAAGGTCAAGAATTAGGGAAAAGGTTAGTAGGTAGTCGTGCGTATCTCCATTTCGGACTGAGGGTATTAGGGTCTATATGGTATTAGATTGCTAGTATATCATGTTGTTTTCCTATTTTCTTCCGCTTCGGTCTCCTAGTACCCTGTTGTTGTTATTGCTACCGCTTCTTTTCATCTCCTTCTGACTTTGTGATTGTTGTTACGATCTTTTTGGCCTATTTGTTGATATCACTTGTTTCCACCATGTCTTTTCTCTTTCTTGAGCTTAGGGTCTATTGGAAACAGTCTCTCTACCTTACCAGGATAGGGGTAAGGTCTGAGTACACACTACCCTCCTAGACCCCACTTGTGAGATTCAATTAGGTTGTTGTCGATGTTGTTGAGTGCAGAGTAGTATTTGCCTATTGACTTAAAAAAGATAAATGATTTACCACTATTAGGATGAAACATGTCATAGTAGAGTGGAATGGATAACATAGGCTCATATAACCGATCCCAACCCGTTGGGGGTTAATACCAACTTGATTTATTCAATGCTTGATCAGAGACGGATTCAGGATTTAAATTCTATTAGCTAAACTTTTAAGGTTCTTAGCATTGAGCCCATTATATTTTTAAAATTATAGGTTCAGACCTACCAGCTGTTGCAATTCTAGTGCAATTTTTCACATAAATTTATGCTCTGCGTCAGAAGTAGTGAGTTCAGATGAACCTGGTGATGGAACTCTACATCCGCCCCTGGTCTTGATTACTATATATCGTTCGATCCGAGTCCGTTCCTGTTGCGGGTAACGCAGCTTTGCCACATTGAAGAAAACAGTGTAAAAGACTGATAGATTTGAATGTTGTTCATTGAAGTCCTTTGGATATAGTACCCTATTGTTTCATAGGTAAATAAGGTAGTTGAGTTCACGAAACTTGTTATGTGATATGATACAGTTGTTTATGCTGGAATCATAGTGAATGGAACTCCTTTGAGGCACTTGGCACTCTTTATTTGCTATGTACTAACTTCGCCTGTAACAGCACCTTGTCTGCATTGCCATATTGCGGATCAAAACTAACTTTGAGATCCTTGACTGAAAATAAATATAGCGTTTATGAGATACATGTGGATTGTCTTGTAGTTTAACTCCTTGTGGGAAACATAAAAGAAAACATGTTAAAGACAACTTCCAAGGAGAAAATACATACATTATGATCTCATGCGTCTACGCCGTACTCTAAGTATGCTATGCATGGTAGTATTCTTATGTTCTCTTCTCACAGTTAACTGATTATATATTTTTGTTCTCTGATCTTCACTGACTAGGCTCTAGAAATTCCACATTGTTAGGTATTTCTGTTCTTTGATCTTTCCTAGATATCTGAGCTGAGGGTGTATTGGAAACAACCTCTCTACCTTCACTGGGTAGGGGCTTGCATACACACTACCCTCCCCAGACCCCACTTGTGAGAAAACACGGGATTGTTGTTGTTGTTGATATCCCCTAGATTGACTTGAGAAATTCTACATGTTTACAGCTTCGCGAGTGTTAAATTCCATAGTAGTTGATGATGGAATCACACAGCCCAACATCTAGTGACAATTATGCTGCTGATATCTCTTCCATCAGGGGAGCTCAAGTACGCATCGAGCCCTTTGTGCACAAAACTCCTGTCCTCACCTCAGAAACTTTAAATTCTATTGCTGGAAGAAAGCTCTACTTTAAATGTGAATGCTTTCAAAAGGGGTGAGAAGCTCTTTAACAATGTAGAATTGAAAGATTTGTCTTCAAGTAGTTTTTGTGCAATGTGTGTTATTAGAGAACTAAACTTTCTTCTATTTTGACTTCTAAAAGTTCTAACTAAGCGCCATTGGTTTGTACAATTTTATCAGTGGTGCTTTTAAATTCCGAGGGGCGTGTAATGCTATTTATTCACTTGATGATGATCAGGCCGCTAAAGGAGTTGTAACTCATAGCAGGTTCGCTTAAAGCTTTCTGGTTTCTGTGGTTTACTATCTTTATCACTTTTCTCGATATCCTCTGATCTGCTTCCCTTGACTTTAGTGGAAACCATGCGGCAGCTCTTGCTTTGGCTGCAAAACTGCGGGGCATCCCTGCATATATAGTTATACCAAAAAATGCTCCAAAATGCAAAGTTGAGAATGTCAAACGTTACGGTGGTCAGATTATCCGGAGTGAGCCATCAATGCAGTCCCGAGAGGATACTGCAAATAAGGTGTTGCAAGATACTGGCGCTGTTCTTATTCATCCCTACAACGATGGGCGCATCATAAGGTAACAATTTTTTTCTTTATCATTTATTCATAGATGATATTTGGTTCCAGTCTGTCGTCTTCTTTAGGTGATTTCTTCCCTTCTGCCTGAACCTTGGTGGGCAGAATTATCCGGTGTCGGTGCTGGTAGGAGGTAGCAGGTACCTGGTGAAATATTCGAGTTACGTGCAAGCTGGCCCAAACACAACCATTTTCGTTAAAAAAAATTATGTTGCCTCTATTTGCTTTCGAGCTCTGGAACTAATATCAAAACTGAAGCAACTTGATCCCAGTCAGTTATCTTGGCTTGTCGGTCTTCTAGTTAACCTTCAACCAAAAAATGTAAGATTCTTAGATCATTAATTTCAGTTTTAGGCAGGAAAACTGAAGAGTATGAAAGAACTTTTTCTGCAAAGGACATCTAAAAGTAAGATCATAAGAGATCTCATGTCTCAGTTTGAGAAGAAAAATTGCTCAGCCAGTTGCTAGAAGAAATGGTGTTAATTCTAACCTCTCAAACTCATATCAAAAGAATTTCCATTTTACTGAAATGTTTCTTCTGGTCTTTACAGTGGGCAGGGTACAATATCACTGGAGTTTCTGGAACAGGCTCAAGATATTGACACTTTAATAGTCCCAATTAGTGGTAAATCAACCCTTTCTGTTTTCATGAGTAATTCAACCCTTTTAAGACTTCATAAATTGTTTGCTTGAAATTTTAATTTGTAAATCAACCTCATGTTTCTGGTTTGGAATGAAGGAGGTGGTCTAATATCAGGAGTCGCGTTGGCTGCTAAGTCCATCAATCCTGCCATTCGCATTTTGGCTGCTGAACCAATGGGAGCAGATGACGCTTTCCAGTCGAAAATCAATGGTAGGATTACTAAGTTATCTGAAGTCAACACTATCGCCGATGGGCTTCGAGCTTTTCTTGGAGATCTTACATGGTAAATTCTTAGAGCTCCTTCTACTCTAAACTACTTTGTGCCAATTTGGCGCTTTTCATGGTCAAAGTCAAAGTTTTGTTGGTGGAAAGATCGGGATAAATCAATATTTTAGAGATCATGCTATTTTCTTTGTTCACTTTTGGTGTATTTACCCTTGCATTAACGAAGCCTCTTTCTCCATTTGCCCCTTTTATTCTCCACCAAGCGCTTCTGAGCCGAGAGTTTATTGGAAACAACCTCTCTATCTGCACTAGGTAGGGTTAAGGTCTGCGTACACACTACCCTCACCAGACCTCCACTTGTGGGAATGTACTGGGTTTGTTGTTGTAGTGTCGACCAAGCTCCATAAGGCTTTATTCATTTGATAATTTTGTTTATCAAATGATCTCTGGCATTTACTTTTAACATCAAATTACAGGCCTATTGTCCGCGATCTCGTGGATGATGTTATAGTTGTTGATGATAAAGAGATAATACAAGCTATGAGACTTTGCTATGAGATTCTAAAGATTGCAGTGGAACCAAGTGGAGCTATTGGCCTTGCAGCTGTTCTTTCTGATGGTTTCCAAAATAATCCAGCTTATAGTGAATGCAGTCATATTGGCATTGTAATTTCTGGAGGCAATGTTGATCTTGGTGTTCTTTGGAATTCGCTCGAGAAATAAGAAATTCCATATTCAATCTTTTCCCTCGCAGGAACCAACTTTCATATATTCATGTACTGTGCGGATTCATCATAAATTGATTAGTTTTACACTTTCAGCCTACCGCAACTGTCTTCTTTATCCGGGCTTAGGACTGACAATGTGAGCAAGCTCACAGATGCAGAGTAGTAGTATTTATTGTTAGTTGTATAATTGTATTGTGAATTTTCACATCTAATTCTTGGATAGGGGTGAAAGTTAGTATTTAGTAGCGAGGTTTAAACATAAGTGGTGGAGGAGTTATAACTGACACAGGCAATTACAGGAAATTAAGCTATCTAACATGTAAGGATAACTCCCTATATACTTCTAAAATTAAGATTTTAGATCTGATTGTTGTTGAAATTTTAGCGAATTTTCACATATGTTTCGCCTAAAAAATATTTTTTTAGATGTACTCATTTGCTTAGATCTATTTCCTCCACCGAAAGAGAGCTTTACATAAAGTGAGTATTCGATTCATGTATCGATTCAAAATTAAGCAAAGTGTTAGAGGTATATAACGTTTTACGGTTTATAAAGGTATAACTATATTGGTCTTTTAAGTTTGTCAAAAGCAAATAAGTTTGGTCTTCATCAATATTTAACCAGCCATGTGTGTTAGATTAACTAAAACTATAACAAAAGTTTAATCAAAAATATTATAAAAGTCTTGTCAAATATTAGAAACAACACCTCAAAAATGCAACACACACAATAAACAAACTAATAAGTAATAACAACAAAAATTGCAAAAGCTACATCTCCAAATGTGAGTTTCGGCTAAATTTTATTGTTTCATAGCTTTCACTAAAATGTAATAACCAAAATTCGTTAAATATTTTATGGAGACTAAAAAGATTCACTTTTGTCAAATTTAAAGGACCAAAACTTCTTAAGAATACATTTAAGAGACTATTTTAGATTTACCCCAAACATATGGAACCATTTTCGTCATTTTCTATTCCTTCTGTATGCTTCTTATTAACAACATTTTTTAGGGTTTTAGATTCCGTTCCCTTATTCTGAAGCATGAATTCCACAACAATGGATACCCAGCCCCCTCCTCCTCCACCATGTTGGAGCAACATCCTAAAACAACCACCACCACCACTACAACCACAAGCTCCGACCACCTTTACCGCCGCCGTACCCACGGCGGCGGCAGCAGGTACTGGAGTTCTAGTCGGGAGCTGCAAGTCGACGAAGGGAATAGCAGTAGCAGTAGTAGACGCAAACGCTATAATTCAAGGCGGAGATAAGATGAACCATTCAGCTGACCGGTTCGTATCGGTACCTGAAGTGTTGAGCGAGATTCGTGATCCTAATTCTCGTCACTCGCTTAATTTCCTTCCGTTCACTGTTGATACAATGGAACCTTCTCCTGATTCTCTTAAGAAAGGTTAAAAAGTTTAATTTTTTTAAATTTTTGTACCTATTTGTATATTTATGCGCTATGTTAGATGTGTAGTTTTGTTGATTTTATTAACCTTTTATTTATATTGCTTTGGTTTAGTTACATGAAATTAATCAGTTAGCATAGTATCGATTTTTCCTCAATCCGAAGTTAGTTGAGGTCGGCATCGCAATGCTTGCTAACCATTTTGATATTGTGAAGATTCATCATTAATTTCTAGTTTTATTCTTGCTGTCAATTTATCTCAAAAATCTGCTCTTTTATTTGGGCTTGGGACTGGCAATATGAACAAGCTCACACTTTAAGTGAATTTGCGCAGGTGGGGGAGGGGGGTGTAAGTAGAAGATACTATGTTTTGCTGATAGCTGAACAAACTTGATAGACAGTTGTGGATGGCTCGATTAAGTCATACACAACTCTCGTGTGTGTGTGTGTGTGTGATTCTATTGATAAGTAAGGTCACATTGTATTCTTTTTAAACACAGACTTGTTGAAAGAAAAACTATGGTGAAATATGTGAAGTATTTTTGGTTTTTATATATCTTTGTCGTTTCTTGTCAGTTTCTTTGCTTAATGGCCACTGGGTAAGTCTGATTCCAATTACAGAGGTTAGAGTCTAACTTTATCAGAAAAGTTGTTAAGGTAGCGCTTGATGTTTGCTGAGGCCCAAGAATGTATATAGTCTAGTTAGAGATTGGTATATCAATATAGAGATAAGTGTGCGATTTATAGAATCTCTAGTTTTAGAGAAACCCAGAAGTGTATGTCAGTTTAGTCTAATTTTAGAGAACTATGCTCAGAGTGTTATTTTTAATCTTGGATATCTTATTGAATATGTTATGTTACCTGTCTTTCCAGTTATCAGCTTTGCAAGAGCTACTGGTGATTTGCAAACACTTTCCGATGTGGATCTCAAGCTCATTGCTTTAACTTGCACTTTGGAGGCTCAATTTCATGGAACTCATCATCTCCGGGATTGCCCTCCGCCTATTCACATGGTTAATGTGAAAAGGTTGCCAGAGAAGGAGTTACCCGGATGGGGCTCTAATGTCCCTAATCAAGAAGAATGGGACGCAATAGAACATGCAATGGATGCTGGAGCAAACTCCAACTCTAGAATTCTTCCATTGAAAGATTTGAGCTTGAATGTTATTCCTCTTGATCAACAAAGTAGAGATGGTTCAACCTTGAATGGCGGTGTTTCTCATTCTGAGGATCAGCTGGATGCTGATGGTGGGTTCGGGAAGCCTAGAAAGTACCTGCCACAGAAAAAAGAGGTAAAAATTCAAGGTAAGAAGATGGTTGCCGATGGAATTGATGCATCACAGGGACAATATGATGAGGATGGTGATGATTGGCGACCCGCTGTGAGCCGAAGTACTCATAGGAGATTTCTCAGACGAAAAGCTAGACGTGAAATGTCTGAGACATCATCTAAAATGGATGATATACAAGATGAAACTGAAAATGCAGTAAATGAAAACCTTGACAACTGTCAATGTGATGATATCGCTATGTCCCATTTACCGGAAGAAAATCCGGAGGCGAACGGAGAGGGCAGTAAGATTACTGAAGTAAGAGATGGTGAAGAAAATTTGTCTACGATTTTGAGTCAAATGCGGCTTGAAGAAGATTCTGCAAACGCTCTTCAAGATGACGCAGATGCAAACATTTCCCTTAAGGGGCCTGAATCCAATGATGCTAAGCAAGACAGTAAAGAATCTGAAGAAGATGAAGGGGAAAATTTTGACTGTGCTGATGGAGGAGCGGAAGATGCAGAGATGGCCAGCCAGATGGACGAGAGCATTGAAACATCGTTTGTGGATGATGACAGCAGCGAACAGAGTTGGATGTTAAAATCCTTGTCCGAGTCAAGCGTGGCTTGCGTGACAGGTGATTTTGCAATGCAAAATGTTATTCTTCAAATGGGCTTACGCCTTGTGGCACCTGGAGGAATGCAGATTCGTGAGCTGCACAGGTTTGTAAAAGCTGCTGTGATCCCCACCCCATCCCCCAAATAAGAGAGAAGAAAAAAAAATTGTATTTCAGCTTCGTACTACACTATAATATCCATTGTCTATTCTTCATGTTGCCGAGTTATCATGAACTCTGTAAGAGGACTATTGAAATGCTCCTCCTATTGAGTCAGTCAATACACTTCTCCTTTATGCTTGGAGTCGCTCTAATATTTGGTTGTATAGGAATGTGATTTGCTGACTGTAGTTTTTATTTTCAGGTGGGTACTGAAATGCCATGCCTGCTATAAAGTGACAACAGATGTTGGTAGGATTTTCTGTCCCAATTGTGGAAATGGAGGCACTTTACGCAAGGTAGCAGTGACTGTTGGTGAAAATGGTATTGTTCTTGCAGCACGCCGACCACGTATATCCTTGCGAGGAACGAAGGTGAGAACTGAGACCTCATTTTCTAAGCATCTCCAATTTTAATACTTCTATAAATCACATCCTGGCACCTAATCAAAACAGTAACTTGAGTATATGCTTAGCTAAGCTCACATTTGTCACTTTTTTCTGTACATAGCTGCTTCTTTCTTTTTTATCCAATTACTCAAAGATGAGTGGCTTGTGAAGCGTAGTCATGAAGCTTTTAACTCTAAATAATAGATGGTGATTTCGTGTGAGTTGCACACTGCTCACACATGCGAACTGAAATGTGTTCAATGCTTATCAATCGTATATAAAAGTCGGAATAGACACTGAAGCCACTGCTTAGAATCCTCTCTTTTCAATCTTACACTTTACCTAAATGTCCTAGAATGTTAATTTTTGCTGTTGGCTTTCATTTGCAGTTTTCCCTGCCTTTACCTCAAGGGGGTAGAGATGCTGTTACCAAGAACCCGATATTACGTGAGGATCAGCTTCCACAGAAGTTCCTATATCCTAAGACGAAAAAGAAGAACAAGCAGGTTGGTTTCAGCAAAATGTCTCTTGCCGTCGTCTTTTTTTCCTTTCTTTCAATTACTATGATAAATATTTTAGGTGCACATTTTCAAGTTTTTTGAGAAGTTGAGTTGATTTTTTTTGTAGGGGGATGAGATATTTACTCCGGACACTCTTTTTCTCCACCATACTAGTAAGAAGGCTCCTCTGCAGCCTCCTGTTCGCAAAGCACTAGCTGTTTTCAGTGGAAAGAGGAATCCTAATGACAATCATTATTCTCGTGCTAAAGTTTGAATTTTTGATATAGCCATTCTTATAAGTTCAAAATTTTGTATGAGAGAACTGGGTTTTCTATATTGGTCCATTAAATTATGGTTGAAAGCTGTGAAGATTAATGTGCACTAGATTTTTTTTTTTTGCGTGTTTTATGGATAATCTCAGTAACATGAGATACGGTTTGATTACAAATGAAATTGAGTTTCTGCATTTGTTCTTGTTTCCTTTCTGGTATACAGTAAACCTTATTGAAAGGCATAGCAAAATGAAAGTGTAACTATCATTTAGTTAATGTTTCAACTCTTCGAGGGCTTTGGTTTAGTAATAAGAGCACGAGTAATGTGTAGATTAGACGCATGTTACACGGATTTGAATCTTACTGCAGACAAAAGCGAGGGAACTACACATATAGCCATTTTTAAGATTGCTACTTAGGAATTAGTTGGTACTTATTTTATCCTAAAAATTTAAACTAAAAATCTTAACTTAAATTAGGTTGGAAAACTGAAATTCAGGATATGGTTAATTTCTAAATAATAACCCTTTAGAATGGCTACCTAGTGTTATTTCTACGATAAAAGTTTGATATTTAAGTGGAGAAGGATAGAGGGTTTACTTAACCAGCATTTTTTTTTGGTTTCCCACCCGGCGTCCGGTACCCGCATTGGGATCTGGCTAAATCCGGATTTGCGCCGGGAAGTCCCACATTGGAGGGTATAGCATTCTCTAACAAATGAGACTCCATACCCAGGTCTCGAACTCGAGACATCTGATTAAAGATAAAGGAGTACTTACTACTCCACCACAACATTTTTTGGTTACTTAACCAGCATTATTGTTACTGTTTCTGGTGTATAAATAGTATCATTGTACCTACTTTCTAATTTATGTCACTTGATAGGTACTTAATTTGTATCTATAACATTTCTTTGCTGATCTTAGTTGGCTTTTCATAACTACAAAGCGTGACAGGAGTGAATTATGTTGCTTTCATCAGTTAGAGAAGATTCTCAAATTAATACTATTAAGTTATGGAAAATGCCATACTTAATTGTTAGTCAACCAAGCCATGCATAAGAATTATCAATTTTTACACTTTATAAAAGCCTTAATCCAACTACTTCTCCCCCAAATCAATCCCTCTTTTCTTAATATTTCTTCCAAAACTTGATCTCTGAGTTCCAAATCAAGTTATAGGAGAACTTTTTCCGGTTTATCCATTCAGTATCTAAAGCCACCCATCGGCCTGACTAGTTCGAATTCGCCTCAGGTCGGGTTCACTAAAGGAGGATACGTTCCATACTAAGAGTTTCTCCATTCCCATAGCTCGAACACGACTTGTTCCTTGCTAATTAGCACGCGCTATCACTCAAGATACTTCAAATGGGACAGGTCATATTGAAATTAGCCTTCTTATACTCTATTTATATGTTTGATTATATTCCTTTTTTCTTGGTTTGCAAACTTTCTTGCTTACTATTGTATTAATTACTAATGAAAAATTTGCATATCTTATATACAGCAAAAGTTGGTGGTAAAGATTATGACAATGAGCGACGAAAAAACGAAACAAAAAGCTATGGAGGCTGTTGCTGATATACATGGTATTCAAGAAAGCTTTTTAATAATACCCTGTGACCTGTGTGTTTGGTACGACGAAAGTTATTTTTCTGAATAATGTTATTGATGAGAATGTTATTTTTGGTGTTTGGTTATCCAAATATTCTTTTAAGTTTTCCTTAGAAAAATATTTTTATCAAAAGGGGGAAAATAATTTCCACGATCACTTATAGGACATAAGTCATTTTCCTTGCAACTATCTTAACATTTAACTTCGCATTATTTGATTCAACTATATTGTTAATCTCTAGTAATAAAAAATTCCATCAAGATGCTCTCCGATTCGCTAATAGGATTATTAATCTTTATAAATATTTTTTTAGAAAATATTTTTCACTCACCAATCAAACACTATTTTTGAGGAAAATATTTTTCATGAAAAAGACTCAACAACAATAACAACAAAAACCTATTGAAATTTCACAAGTGGAGTCTGGAGAGGGTAGTGTGTATGCAAATCTTACCCCTACCCTGGAAAGATAGAGAAGTTGTTTCCGATAGACCTTCGGCTCAATGAACGATAAAATAAGCAGTAGCAATAAACAATAACAACAACGAGATAATAAGAAAACAACATATAGTAATAGCAATCTAGGAATAAGAAAAATACAAGATTAACACTAATACTACCGCCGTATGAAAAAAAATAAAAATACTCGATTGCCTACTAACCTCCATTATACCAAACACAGTATTTATATGTCACAATTTCCAATCAACTTTTGCCATTTTATTGTTATTTTCTGGTCATTATATAGCTAGTTATAATTTTTAGTTTTAAATTTTGATAGGAGTTGATTCGATAGCAGCTGATATAAAGGAGCAGAAGATGATAATTTTGGGTGAAATGGATAGTATAGCAGTTGCAAAAAAGTTAAAGAAAGTTGGGAAAATTGACATAATATCAGTTGGTCCAGCTAAACAAGAAAAAAAGGAAGAGAAGGACGAAAAGAAGGATGAAAAGGCTGTGGATAAGAAATGATCAAATAGATGCAAATGATATTTACATTAATTATATTATCAGTGAAATTTAATTTATTGTAGCAGGTTGTTTGTCTTATTTTTAAGCAATTAATTTCACTTATTATAATTGTTATTTGATACCGTAAACTAGTTTTTATATTGTCAATGTAAAGAAGTTAAGTTATTATTTTTATTGATCGTTAAAGACGTTGTTTTGGGTTAAAAAGGTTATCTTTGCGAACGCAGTGTCAGTTTATTGTCATTATTTAATTTGTAAATTAATTTGAGTTTGATATCAACTTCTCTATCAATTCGGTCAATCCGAAATGGATTGGCCGTTAAATATACCATCAGTGTTTTAAAAGGTGTGGGTGTAAGGCGGGGCGTTTTACATATGCCTTAGCAGGGCGTAAGCCCCATAGGTATTTAATTTTTAATATTTTATAAAATAATATAATGACAGTTAATATTTATAAACATGTAAAATTGCATAAAAATTGAAGAAAACTATATATGTGTGTGCTCCATCCCCACAAAAAACTAATCAAACAATCTATTATACGTTACTTATAAGCACAAGTAATTTGAATCTAAAAGAATAAAATTTTCTATATGGAGGAACAAAAAGGATGATTAACCTGCAATTTGAACTTTGGATTTGCTGCTATGAAGAAAAATGTAGTTCTCTTTGTATTTGTAAAAAAAATTAAATATTCGTTGCTTTTGGGAGATATTAGCAGACTACCGGTCAAGATAAAAAATTGAGAAAATCATGAATTAGAGCTTAAATCAATAAAAAAAGGTCTTTACTTTTAAATTTAATACTTTTGAGTTCCTTTTTAAATCTTTTGAGTAATTACCAAACCGACTTTTGAGAATTTGGGTATTATATGAAGGACTAATTCAACAAATTTTATTTTAATTTGAAAAAGTCTCTAGGGCTTATTCCTTACTAAAAAAACGCGCCCCAAACGCCCGGGCGTACGCCCCAAATTGCGGGACGTACGCCTCTTGAGACTTTCGCCCCACACCATCGCCCCAGGGCGTTTTTGGTACGCCTCACCCCGGGGCTCGCCCCAGAAACGCCTTTTAAAACAGAGTATACCATAAGGGAGCTTGATTTTGACTATTTTACGTGATATTCATTCTCGTTAGGTGTGTACATGTTAAGATATATTATAAATCACGCGTATTATTATAGTATTCTTTATGGAGCAATTGTTTATTTATTTATTCAATTCGATAAAGTTTTATTTTAAATAAATCATGTATTTGTCTGTGCATCCGTTGCTTATATAGTAGATGATCTAGTGTATAGAGTTTAGCTTATACACAGAAGATTAAATAATCGGTTATTATAAGTCATAAAGTTTATGTTCACAATCTAATGATGGAATTGGACAAACCATCGGAATGGTTGTAGCACAAGATTAATATAATTTATCTTGATTATGAGAAGGGTTTAATTCCGACTTCTTGTGCTAATACATTTTGTATGTATTGAATAGATCAAGTAGAAATAAGTATTTTATACTGACTTAATAAAATAATTTCTCTAGTCCATTCAATATACTTATACTCTTAATCTTGATATACTTATTATTAGTTGTGTGTGTCAATTGTTTTGATTTATTAAAAAACGAGATTCTTTCGAGGGTCAATAAGCCAGGTAAATTGGACAATAATGATATACATTAGCGAAGTAATAATTAGTTGATAGAACCCATGTCTCACCTTTTGATATTGATGATACTCCTTTATGAAAGCTTATAAGTTTTCATGTGTAAACCCGACCGGTGAATTTTGTATCCGACACATAAAATAAGTTAAGCAAAAGTCTAAAGAAAGTAATCAATAAATTAGTCAGTAATTTAATTTGATTGATTAGTATCTGAATCTTAACATGGGGAGTTAAATAAGGTTTTATGGAAGAATTTTGAAATTGAACTAAGGATTGCAATTACGAATTTTCAGTGAAATAATTCGTAATTTATTATGGTAGAAATTAATTCCATAATAGGAAACCTTGTTAATTAAATAAATTCTGTGGTCCCTACTATGCCTAAATAATAGGAAATAAAGGAAACTTTTCTTTAGTGGAAGAAGAAAACCTAACAGGTTTTAGAAAATGGTTTTAACCTAAAAAACGTGGCTATATATACTCCATATAGGCTTGGCCGTTTTTGCACTGGTTCTTACACGTTTTTCCTTGGAATTTCGCCCACTCAAAATTCTCTCTTTTCGGATATTGTTTGGGTATCACAGTAGAAGACTGTGGAAGGTTTTGCTGAAGTCGCGATCTTGCTACTCTAGAACAAGAGACATAAATTAATCTATTTTGTTCACGTTTCAAGAGATAACTCGTATAATCTTCATATGTACTAATTGTTTAATTTACACGTGAATATGATACTGAAATTGCTTCCGCTGTGATATTTAATCCGACAATTGGTATCAGACCCTAATCATGTCTAATTAAATAATTAGGATGAATATGAAAAGGAGCATCATGCTAATATGCAAGTTTTGAATTACATGGTAATTGTTTCGAGTATTGTGATTATTCTAAAAATCATATAATATCTGCTTATTGTTGATGATATTTGATTAGAATAATCTGAAAGTTTTGTTAATCCGAGGAAAACGCAAAATCTACTATTTGGCCGAATTGGCTAGAAAATCGGAGGTCAACATGTTGATGGAGTCCTATTGACCTGAAATTTGGCAGGTCCATGCGAAACGGCCTAGTGATCAATACTCATCAACTTTGCTCATGATGTAAGCCGTTTTTCGGGCTTTCGGGGTCGTTTAGATGCTGTTTTGGGTGTTTTTATATTTTTCTGGAATTTTTTCGAATTTGTTTAAAGTTGTTTTAATCCAGTGGTGGTAGGGATCATTTTCTATGACTCCAGGGTTAAATTTTGGTGATATAATGATTTTACACGTTGACGTAGGCCTTCTTCCATATTAGATAAACTCATTATAGATAATCACTAGATTATACTAGTTGTTGATTACTTGTATTTACTCTCCATCTAAGTATGCATGTTGGTTTAATGGGACTAGTATATTGAATATTGATATTCACTTGACTTAAATTAACAGTTTAGTCTCCATCTGAGTATGGTATGTTTAAATTCATGGAATGAATAATCTGTCATTACATATGTATAATGCAAGAATAGTTTTTTTTCAATTAAACTTGTTGTTCAAGGTGCATGGATTATACGCATGTAGTGTGTTTTGAATTTTAATATTCAATAATACATGACTGATTTTGATCTATTTATTCAATTGTCTCTCAGATTAACAATGACTGTTTTTAATCCCCTTACTGCTATTCTTACTCAAAACAAACTTGAGGGTCTAAATTAAGATGATTGGAAACGAAACTTGGATATTGTCCTAATTACTGAAGAGTATAAATTTGTGCTCGATGAGGTGTGTCCAGAAAAACCCGGAGCTGATGCTACCGATGATGAACATAAAGCTTACCAAAAATGGGTTAAGGCTGATGAGATGGTGTGGTGTTACATTTTGGCATCTATATCGAATGTTCTGCAACATCAGCATCAGTCTATGGAGTCTGCTTATAATATTTTGAAAAATCTCAAAGAGATGTTTGGAGATCAGAATCGTGCGGCTAAGCAGACTGCCATGGAAGCTTTTCTGAATACCAAAATGGTTGAAGGCTCATCTGTTAGGGACCATGTTCTGAAGATGATGAGTCTTCTGAATGAATTGGAGGTCCTTGGAGCTAACATTGATAAGGATACACAGGTTTAAATGATCTTGCAGATTTTGCCTGACAGTTTTTAGCAGTTTCGCCTGAATTGTAATATGAACAAAATGAATTTGTCACTTGCGAAATTGCTGAATGAGCTGCAGTCGGCAGAGACTATTATCAAGCAATAAGCTCCTCCAGTGGTATTGAATTTTTGAGGTAGGTTCTCCTTCTAAGCCGAGAGGCGGGCAGAAGAAAAAGACTCAAAAACCCTCTATTGGTAGTGCAATTGCTAGTGTGAAAAAGGCTAAGGGCAAGTGTTATCACTATAAGAAGCATGGACATCACAAGAAGCAATGTCAAGCCAAGCTGAATAATAAACCAGGTGATTTACATCTACTTGTCGTTGAAAATCTTTTAGCGGTTGTTTCTACCATGTCATGGTGTGTAGATTCGGGAGCCACTAATCATGTTTGCACTTATTTACAGGGGTTTCAGGTAACGCGACAGCTAAGTAGAGGAGAAATCAATGTTTATCAAGCAGATGGTTCGACAGCCCCAACTTTAACATTAGGAAATATTAGTATTTCGTTTGGTAGTGATAGAATATTAGCTTTAAAGGACACGTTATATGTATCTTCCGTTAGAAGGAATTTAATTTCAATTTCTAGCGCTATGAGAGATGGTTATGACATTAATTTTCATGATATTTATAAATATGCTATTAGTCATAATAAACGTTATCTCTCTTCGGCTACATTGATTAATGGTCTTTTTATTGTTGATTCTATTCCTAAACCGTTACAACCTAAAGAACTGAATTATATTGATTTACCAAATAAGAAAAAACGTTCTTCTGAATTGAGTGAAATATATTTATGGCACTTGCGCTTGGGTCATATAAATCTAAACAGAATTTCAAGGTTGGTTAAGGATGGACCTTTACGTTCATTAAAAGTGGAAGCACTACAAACTTGTGAATCTTATTTAAAAGGAAAAATGACAAAACGTAATTTTCCTTCAAAAAGAAATCGAGCAAGTGATAAATTAGAGTTAATTCATTCTGATCTGTGTGGTCTAATGAATGTCCAAGCAAGAGGTGGTTTTGAGTATTTTGTAACTTTTATAGATGATTACTCAAAGTATGGATATATTTATTTGTTGCGTCGAAAGTCTGAATGTTTTGAAAAGTTAAAAGAATTTAAGACAAAGACTGAAAAGCGACATAATAAATATATCAAGACACTACGATCTAATCGTGGTGGTGAGTATCTCTCTGCAGAATTTATTAGTTACTTATCAGAATATGGAATTACCTCTCAATTATCTGCACCCGGAACACCACAATAAAATGGTGTAGCTAAAAGAAGAAATAGGACTTTTATGGAAATGGTTAGACCAATGATGAGTTATTCT